TGGGGCACAAAGACAGTGGGCCTGGGTATGGCTTCATTCTTGTAGTTCTATGGCTATGGATCTGCTGCTGAGAATCCCACATGCCTCTCTCAGTCTCACCGTCTTTTCTCCTTTATCCACTCTTCATTTTGCATTTTCGGAGAAGCTTAGAATTGAAGCAACAGTCTATTGGCAAACATAAAGCAGAAATTACTGTGGTCCGTGCTAACTCAAGGAAATGTTTCAAAGCCAAGGTGTTTTATTTTTGTTTCTGTGTTTTCACATTACAAATGCTTTTCCACAAATGTGCCACAATTCCCAGTAGGAACAGAACATAACCACTATATCTTGAATATGCATAGTCTACATGTCTGATATTTTTAAGTCACATATATGTTTGTGACTGGGTTTTCATTTTACAAATCTATAAAACCAAATATATAGTTTTGTATTTTAGGTTTCTTGTTTGTTTTAATGCCTATATAATGCTGCATTTAGTTTCGGAGCCATGATTAGTTTTCAAGTTCTGCTGTTTAGAATGATTTCCTTCCCTCCCTTTCCTTTTTCTTATCTTCTCTCTTCCTCTAACCAAAGATCCCTTACTGTTATCAAGGTTCACCCTCTTTCCTGGTTATTTTATGTCTAGTTGACATAAACGAGAGCCATTTGGGAAGAGGGACTCTCAGTTGAGAAAGTGCTTCGATCAGACTGGCCTGTAGGATATCATGGGATTTTGATTGATTGACCGATGTGAGAAAGCCACGTCCCTTGTGGCTGGTGCTAACCCTGGACAAGCCATCCTGAGTTGTATAAGGAAGCAGGCTGAAAGCTGGGCATCATGGCACACACCTTTAATCCCAGCATTCTCAAGGCAGAGACAGGAGAATCTCGGAGAGTCCAAGGTCTACAATGTGAGTTCCATGACAGCCAAGGCTATATAGAGAGACCCTATCTCAAGGAAAGAAAAAAGAAAAGAAATGGAGGGAGAGAGGGGGTTGGACAGGCCATAGAAGCAAGTAAGCTGCATTTCTACATTGCTTCTACTTTGGTTTCTGCCTTGACTTTTCTCAGTGACAGGGTGTGACCTGAGAGTTGAAAACTGAACTAAATTCTTTCCTCCCTAATTGCTTTAGGTCTTGGTGTTTTATGATAGCAATAGCAAGCCTAAGTAAGGCAATCCCTAACGCTTTATTCTGGAAAATTCCTGGATGTCTACTGACAAAAGGATATGGTAGATAGCAGCATTACTACTTTCAGTACGACCCAATGTAGATCCATTTACGGGTAAGTTAGAGCACAGTAGAGTGATGGGGATTTGTTATTTAGAAAACATTGCTGGGTAAGACATCTCAAAGAATATCACATGTGATATGAGTCTGAGATATCAAATAAATGGGGTCATGGGTGCTTCGGGGATTGGCCTCTAGGTCAGGAATCAGCGGTAGAAGGAACTCAGCTTGAATTTCTAGAAGAGGTTGAAGTCTTAGTCTGACTGGAGAGGAGTAGGTGAGCTGAGGTGAGCTGAGATATGACTAGACCATCTTATATGGGGAGCAGAGAGAATCCAAACCACACAAGGGGTTGTGACAGATAAAGATCTGTCACAATCATCAGGCTGCTACAGAAATTCCAGAGGCAGTGAGGAAGGAGTAGGTAGAAGGTAAGCTGCCCTGTGGTATACTCCCAGTAAAAAACAAAGGAACAGCAAAATAAAGACAATATGTCAATGTTTGCTTTTAAGGAGAAAGTGTGTGTGTATGCGTGTGTGCGCGCATGCATGTGCACACGCATGTGTGTTGGTGGTTGGTGTGGGAACAACTGGAAGTGGACAGTCTTAGGTGTCATGCTGCAGGAGCCATTCATTGTCTCTTGATACAGAATCACTTACAGGCTTGTAACTAGGCTTGGCTGTCTGGCAAGGGAGTTTAGGGAACCCCATGTCATCACTGTCCTAACACTGAGATTACAAGCATGCACCCCAACACTGGATTTTTTTTTTTTTTTTTGGTTTTTCGAGACAGGGTTTCTCTGTGGTTTTGGAGCCTGTCCTGGAACTAGCTCTTGTAGACCAGGCTGGTCTCGAACTCACAGAGATCCGCCTGCCTCTGCCTCCCAAGTGCTGGGATTAAAGGCGTGTGCCACCACCGCCCGGCCCAACACTGGATTTTTAAGGTGGGTTCTGGTGGTGGTCCTCAAGCTTACAAGGCAAATGATGTACCAACTGAGCTATATCCATAGTCCAGGAAAATTATATTATCATTTGACTTATTACTAGTGATGTATAATACATACTATTTAATTATCATATGCATCATAATGTTATTTCTCTAATGAGCTATATATTTATCTTCATGTCATATTCCTAAGTGAATTCTCACCAAGTTTAAAGAGGGTTGAGTTTATTTATATTATTTTCCTCATATTATCCATATTGACCATTTTTTCATTGAATTTATAATACAATTGGCCTAGTTTATTTCATTTGTGCTTGTTTTTCTCTGTAGATTTTAAATCTGCAGGTAGGTCTCTACTTGGAGACTATGTTTTGAATTCCTCTGGGCCACTTATTCAGGGAAGATGTCTTAGCTCCCAGACACTGAGGATCTTGGGTTCTGTCTCCAAGACCTCTGCCCACAAGGTTCTGTACTCTAGAATAGAGTTGCTTATAAACAGTCACAGGGCATGCCTGCCTCTCCACCATCTGTGTAAGAAGAACATGGAAACAGGGACAACACACAGAAAAGGCTTCCCAAGCACTACCAAAGACAAAGTTCAGGAATTAACACTCTAACAGGCACTTTCCAGCAGAATTTCTGAGCCAGGAGAGTGGAGGCAGAGCAGGAGCTCTCAGACATACTTTGTTGACCATTTTGTTGTATACAATGAGTTAGGGGTGGGAGTGATTTAAAACCCACTAATTCTGTTTACCCTGAAGGAAGCCTTTGTCTCAGAGGTTGCTGACTATGTTTCTTGATCTCATCTTTTGTTAAGGATATGGATTCCTTTCCTTGTTTATGTCTTGTCATTCAAAGTAAGACCTTGGAGGGAAGTTGCGCTCTCGGTTTGGGAAAATGGATTTGCCTAGCCCTCAATACAATCTCCGATACTCAGTCTGTGCTTGCATTACTTGCTGTATGGATAATCAAATGACTATGTCAGTGGGAAATTAAAGACATTGTGTCATAGACTGAAATCCACGTGAACTATAGAGCGGATTTCTCTACACTGTGTTGTTTAATAGAGCCATACTCCTCGGCTCTGCATGATTGATAACTGGTGACTGTCCAGGATAGATCACAGTGGTGCCTGGAGGGATTCATGGGGTTGCCACTGCAATGTGCTCCTTATCTCATGGTCTGTGTAACTCGGATGTTGCAGCTCTCTATTATTTTGAAGCTCCAGGGTCTCTACTTTTGCCATTTGGTATTGTTTTCTTCTTAAATTGCCTCCTCGATGGGTTGATTTTAGATGATAACTTTTGATATCTGAACATTCATGAATTGGCAATACCTGGTGAAAATATCAGAGAACCATGATTAAGTTTTCATCTGGTAAATAACTCCCCTTTTTTAGAGACAGGCGCATCTTTGCTGTGCCAAACTTTTATATGACAGATACAACTTACTGATGATAAATGTTAAATCTTTAGGTTTAAAAACAAAACTAAATGATGCATCTTAAGCCAATACCAACTCTCAATTAGCTACGCTAATAGTGAGCCATGCATGGCGGGATGTTCCCTGTTCTACATGTTCTCTGTGTTCTTGTTAGCATAATCACTGCCATTGGAAGAGTAACCCAAATCTCTCTCTCTCTCTCTCTCTCTCTCTCTCTCTCTCTCTCTCTCTCCTCTCTTCTCTCTTTCTCTCTCTCTACTCAAATCTTGGGAATCCTGATTCTATGATAAATTATACTTTCCATACATTTATTAGGTTATTTTGCTTTATATATGCTGATATCCTGATCTAAATGTCATGTTTGGCCATGGTATCACAAGACAGTAAAGATGTTTTAATTTAGAGCAAAGAACAAAGAGGGAAGGGACACAGTTATACCATAGGAAAACCACCATGCTCATGGATCCAAGAACAAAGTATTGTGCACCTACATTGGGGAAGAATAAGGAAAGGGGAATAGAATAGTAGAATGGTAGCATCATGCTAGATGACCTAGGAGTGAATTGTGTTGTACCTCCATTGGGGAAGAATAAGTAATGGGGAACCTGCCTATATGTCTTCCTGATGTGGTCCAGGAATAAAAGCTGAGTAGCTGTAGGACCCAAGTGGAATTAGTGCTCTAAATTCTAAAACCCAGATGGGTTCTACTGAACCTTTGCAGAAATAACCCAGAAAGATAACTCTCCAACTCTGGCAAATTTTGAACTTTTAAAAGTTTGATCCTCTGATTTCTCGTACTGCATTTCTTCAGTTTGACTGTATCATCAGGTTTCTATTAAAACTTACATGGAAACATATTGACTTCAAACTTTGTCCACTAAAGTATTCTCTTAGCAATAAGTACAAGTCCAACATTGATGTGTTGATTTTTCTAAGTTACATTGCCCAGCTTGGAAATAACATCATCATCATCGACATCATCATCATCGACATCATCATCATCGACATCATCATCATCATTATCATCATCACCATCACCAATATCATCATGACTATCTTCTTCTTCATCATCATCATCATCATCATCACTGGGTTTCTAAAAAAAAGAAAGAAAAAAATGACCTACAGTAGTCATTACTTTTCTGTTACAATTTTATAAAATGGGTCAAAATATTTAGAGTATTTAAGGTTTTTTCCCTACATTCAGTTTGTTAACTTAAGTGTCTATTTCCCAAATAGAACGAGATTTACTCAGTAAGCAGACAGGAATGCAAAACAGAGTAGTCACCACACCTCTGTGTGTTATATCCATTTCTCTCCTAGAGTACACAAATGCACACCTTCTACTCTTGGAAGAAAGTCTGTTCTTGTGATAACTTATGAACATATTTTTTCTGCATGTAGGTGGAATGGCTGAAAAACGAGGAGCCCATTGATTCTGAACAGGATGAGAACATTGACACCAGGGCTGACCATAACCTGATCATCAGGCAGGCCCGGCTCTCAGATTCAGGGAATTATACCTGTATGGCAGCCAACATCGTGGCCAAGAGGAGGAGCCTGTCAGCAACTGTGGTGGTTTACGGTAAGACCAGCCCAAAGGCTAGGAAGGGCTAGGGAGGGCTAAACACAGAGATGTAGAGAGCTATGTACTATGTTAAAATCTCTAGACCAAGAGCTTAGAGGCCCCTGGGTCATCCACCACAGTGCTGTCCTGCCTCTCTCCTGTGTCAGGTGAGAAAACATCCCTAACATGGTGAATGTGTTTGCTGGTCCATTCAGTCTTGGACTGTTGTGAGACAGTCGGTGGTATTTTCAATCTTTCTCTCTCTCTAAAATAATAAAATGGTGGGTTGTTTCCTCCATGGTGTTTATATTTTGAAAGCATCATAGTGGGCAATTTTGACTCCCCACCCTTCCCAAATTCAGATGCCCACCACACCCATATCTTCTCAGACATTCTGGCAGTCAATTCCTTTCTTACCAGATGAAATGCACCGAAAAAAAAATAGCACTGTTTGCTGATGATCTCAGGCATTGTATTAAAACATTTTCTAGTTATTTAAGTAAAGGCATTTCTTTCCACAATAGAGGAGCCCAGGGAATTGTTTTCAAAGCACTTAAAAGTAATAGAAATTCAAATGCTGATATTTTCTTCTTATACTCTGGATGGTCAAGTGCCTTAGAGAGTTCCCGTTTTTAATAGTTCTCTGCAAAGCCAACTCTCTAGATTCCTCTCACAGAAGGGTAGAAGCATGAGGACCATGGTTGACTCACAACAGGGCAGCAAGAGGGATGGACTCGGCACCATCTCTTCTCCAGATCCCCGACTCACAGCACCTGGCTCAGTGGCTAGCACATAGTAGGCAATCAGTACAAACCTCTCTCCTCTTTTTCTCCCCTCCCCACTTTTGTCTCTCAGTGAATGGAGGCTGGTCTTCCTGGACAGAGTGGTCAGCCTGCAATGTTCGCTGTGGGAGAGGATGGCAGAAACGTTCCCGGACCTGCACCAACCCCGCTCCTCTCAATGGTGGGGCCTTTTGTGAGGGAATGTCAGTGCAGAAAATAACGTGCACTGCTCTTTGTCCTGGTGAGATATACACAGATTCCCTTCTCCTTCTAATCTGCCCATGCTACTAAGTTGTGGTGCAAGCAATGTGCCCTGTCCTCCAAAGTCACCCTGGTCCAAGGTCCGAGGCTATTGCCTCTGTCCAAAGTGCTGATACTGAATTCATTGTAACAGAGAGAACATGGGTAAAACTCTTCTATGCAAGGCTTGTGGTAGCAAAGTTTGGTTGGACCAAGCCACCAGCTTCTACCCTTGATTTTCCCACTTGATGGCATGTATTTGAGTAAAGTAACCAGGGATTGGGTCACCTGCCTTCAAGCACAAAAAAAAAAAAAAATCAACTACCCAAAACTTGACCTTTTATCAGTTTCTGCTTGGCATTTATTAGCGATATAATTGGCAGAGATTGTTCGCTACACAGGTGTGTATTTGCACCTGGCCTGCACTTGTCTTTTTTTCCAAACAGTAGAAGATCCCATTTACAGAATGTGTCTCCTATCAGTTCCTTTGCTGTCTCTTCCTGGCTGTAACCCAGCAATCCAAAGAGAACGGCATGAGGTGGAAAGGTGGCTTTCTTTACGGAAAGCTGGTCCTCCCAAACGGAGAACGGAACTGCTCCCGAGTTTCACACGCACCACACCGGTTTAATTTGAAGGACCTGGGACCAGAGCCTCGTGTCTTTGAATTTTCAATTTGAGTTTCTCGAGAAGCTGAGGTGGGACTCTGCCCCACAGCGTGTGTGCAGAGTTTAATTTGTCCTTGTATTTCATATACATTTATTGAGTGCTTACTATGTGCCAGGTACTGTGCAGGACACTTTCATACCTGCCATACCATCTGTCTCTCCATTGTGACCTTATTGTTCCCAGATGACAGACATGGAAAATGGAAACCACGTGACTTACCTTCTATGCTGACAAGTTTGCCAAACTAAGACTGGGACTCAGAAATTTGGGGGCAACATTAAATCATTTTTTTTAATTTTTTTCTCTATTTTTTTTACTAATTGGTTTAGATTAAAACTTGCAAGATCTTAACCTACATAGGCATGGTGAAAACTATTCCTAGGAGGTAATAGGGCAATTGCCTCAAACATCTGTCCTAGTCTCCTGGGCTGGTATTTAATGGAATTAAGTTCAGTCTGCTCATTTCAATGTGCAGCAGCAATCTATGACCCAAGAAATTCTATTTCTGGAGGTTCTGCCATCTTGGGGTTTCACTGACCTGTTTTCCATTTAACACTATCAGTTCATGTGGGTTTAGCTTTTTATTGTTTAGGGGATTTGGGGACTTAAAGTCAGTCTACTCTATTACCATCCTAAACTATAAGCCCAGACTACATCAACGGACATCCCGTGGTACTGCACATAGCTACCTGTCCACCAGTAATGCTCTTGGATAAGAAAAGGATGAATAATGCCATTATTAACCAACTCAAAGATACCAGTCACTCAACTGTTTGCCTAAATTCTACCATTAGGGTCTTATCCTAATATAGCTTTAATTAGAAAAGACACTGGAGAATAAAGATACCCTGATCTCCCCTCAGTTTGGTTTTCTTGGGTTGGTGGTCTGTTTAACGTGTGGGGCAAGTTTCACAATAGTTGCTGATTCCTGCTAACGGTGGCCTCTGATACTTTCCTTTGAAGTGGATGGCAGCTGGGAAGTGTGGAGCGAATGGTCAGTCTGCAGCCCAGAGTGTGAGCATCTCCGCATCCGTGAGTGCACAGCTCCACCCCCAAGAAATGGGGGCAAGTTCTGTGAAGGTCTCAGCCAGGAATCTGAAAACTGCACAGATGGCCTCTGCATTCTAGGTAACACTGTTTATTTTATGTCTTTAGTATTTGTGGGTGAGAAACATATTTGTATGTTTCCAGAAGAATGTCCCAATCATTAGCTTGGTTTAGTAAAACGCCAGAAAGCTACTCACCAGAAATGAAAATGAATATGTATAAATGACTGAAAACTGCATGGGTAGATTTTTGGTATTGGTAAAGTAGCGCTATTGTTTTTTAATTTTTTGATGCATTGGAGGTAGAAGCTGGAACATTGTGTGTGCTAGACAAATTCTCTATTACTGGACTACATCATTAGGCCAAGATGGAGTGACTGCAAATGCTACTAAGATATTTCCAAAGAAAGAATTTTCAATATCTGAAACTTTTAGAAGCAACCACTTTTAAGTTTAGTGAAGCCCTTATACTAATTGCTGTGAATTTGCATCTCTGAATAACATTACAAAACTTTAAAATTCTTAAGATATCTTTGGAGTTCAAGGTTTCTGTCAAGGAAAACACATTGCAGCTTTACCTGGTCAGTGGTGGAGGGAGGGTGAATAACCCATGATGGCAGAGGTTTTGTCTCACATTGGTCTGGTAAAGCAGGGGATGGAATGTCCCTCTCTAAATTCCCAGGCTTTTGTTTTATTTCTGATATCAACTGTTACTCCCTCTACGTGTCTCTCAGCCTAAGTGTGAAAGGTCTGGAAGGATCTTATCCATTCAAGGAGAGGCTGCTTTTAATATGGTGCCCTCTTTGATTCACATGGTGACTCTGGACAGCACACTTAACTTCTTTTACTATAAGTACCAAAGCGTATATTCACTTTCAGTTATTAGCAAAGACCATATGTTGACAGAAAGCATCCGACTCTTTGATGAGAGAGTATACACTCAAAAAATCCCCACTCACATGAACTAAACACTTTCAGTTCCTTTAAAGTGATACGGGCACCATCGATGTTCTTTAGAACTAGGTTGCTTATTTAAAGATTCCTTGCAAAGAAATACCACATCGTAGTAGGTTGTGATCAATTTGTGTATGATGCTGTTCATTAGGAAAAATGACAACGTGAAGGAAGTACTTCTGTTGGATCCATTTCCGTGCACTCAGGTGACTGGGTGCTCTTGAAGGCAAGCACATACTAAGTGTTGCATTTTCAGAATAAATCTGCATGGTTTGTGCATTGTTTAAAATGACTAACACATTATAATCAACCCATTGATACCTGCATTGCCTTTATTCCGGGATAGAATTATCCAGTACCAGCATATGTCAGACCCAGTGCAAGAGGTGCTGATCACTGACGATGTAGCCAGAAAGTTCACTGTTAGAACTTCTGGGCTCACTGTTAAGAACCAGCCTTCTACATCTGCACACCCTCAATAGTAAGATGGCTAAGGAAATGAGTTTCTGACAATGCTTGAATACCACCAAACTTTTATGAATTGTGGCTGCCTTCTCACATTGTGGGTATGTTTTCAAAGTGATACAGTTAGGATTATGGATTTCATATGCCTTCTAAGAGATGATGTCTAAGCTATTTGGCTTCTGGATGAATTTTAGATAACGGTAGTAATAAGCTTACCTATAAATCATATATTGGACTTGAATATACGACTTTAGGCTTGGTTGTCTATGATGTAATCTGAGAGGTATTGAAGACATAGTGTTTAGCTCTTAATGTAAGAAAGAAAGGTTTTCTTGTGTGCGAATATTACTTGTATTTGTGTCATGATTCATGCTTACTTATCAGCTAAGTAAGAGTCCTGTTTAAGGCTAGAAGGCATGATCAGCATTGCTAGTGAACTGCTCGGGGTAGATCCCACGTTAAATCTGAGCTGGCCAGTAGTCAATATTCTCCCAATAAATAGAATCAGCAAGATCACACATGTGATCCCAGCCTCTAGGGTCAAGGGTCAGGCAATAAGATTGTGAGGTTATGACTATGTATATTAAAGAGGGAGACCCCATTACAAAATAACAAAAATTGAGTATAATTCAACAAGAAAACTAATAAATGAATGGAGCGGAACGGGAGGTTTGTGCGATAGGAAAGGGAAGGATTGAAGGGAAGGAAATAGAAGGAAAGGAGGAAAAGGTAATTGAAGTTTGGAAGGCTGACTTGCCAAGATATCTCAATCAGTGTCCCAGTCCCAAGTCCTGTGGCTGGCTGACTGCTACAGAGCCAATAAGATACAATGTCAAAGGCCAAAGGGCAGGGAGAGCTAGCATTTCACTTTGGAAACAGTCTGAAAGAGGACAATTGTATATCGCTTCTGGTAGGGTCAGCCTTCCCTTTTTGTTTTGTCTTGTTTCTCTCTGTAAGTCTTTAACTGATTGGATGAGTACTATTTGTGCTAAAACATTTCATGTGCTTTAATGAGTCTCAAGACTGAAAGGTTACATCATCACCAACACTCTCACACAAGTGTCCAGAATAGCACAAACCCTGAGAGCTACAGATTCAAGGCAGCTCAAGTCAAGTGGACACATAAAATTACTCATCACAAGCGTGTATGTACTTGCTAATTTTTAAGGGGTAGTCTTTCATCTCCTAGGGAGTTGTTGGCCATCATTCAGACAGTGGCTTTAGGTGATTTATTGATTGAAGAAACCCTTTCCCTGGGCACTGGCCATGTGTAGGTTTAATTACATAGAGGCGGCTTCCTGATTACCCAATTATCATCTTGCTATAACGGAAATAAAGTAACCAGAAAGACACCAGGACACCAAGGCTTGCACTATTCTGTGCTTTTGAGGAAGGCAACTCCGTTAAATCACCCATGAGCTGAAAACGCAAATGAGTTTTCCTCCTGCCATTCAGTTTCTTCACTCCACCGAGGCATGGCTGTTTGGAGCCTCTCATGCATTCGCATATGTGTATTAGGAGATCTGAAATATCAGGACTGTAAGGAACTCAGTGAGCAATATTTTTCGTGTAAAAACAGAATGGGGGAGTGAGTGACCTTAGAGGAGAATGAGCTGCATCTGCAGTCTGCATATCAGTTGGAAAGGGTTTACTAGTCAGAACAGCAGGACCGACTGATTCTGTCTTTCTAGACAGAAGGTGCAGCCCACTATTCACGGAATGAGCACCATTTCACTGTCTTTGTGGGAAGCAGTCCAGTTGGATGATACCATTATTACCACATGCTACTCCTTCATACTGCTTTTGGTGAAATAGCTGGGCTCTCAGGGTTGCGCCAAACAAGGTTGCCTTTGATTAAGATAGCATTTGGCAACATCTTTGCAAAAACAGCACCTTTGTTGAAGGATCTAGGTCATGTAGCAATGTGAGTATTTCCTTCACATTAATTCTTTTCCCTATGTGCCGTGCCAAACATGACCCTGTGGCTCCTTCTTTTGGAAGGCTGACAATGACATTGTTCAGCTCTTGGATGGCCTTCAATGATTTGATTTTACTTAGCCTTCACCAGTGTACCTGAAACTCTTCTGTTATCCTGCGGGCTCTGTTTCTCCTCCAGATGGAGCTGCCAGCTCTGAATGATCACCTTAATATTTGGGTATGATTGTTGCTTGGTCACTTGTGGCTGAATCACAGAGACTTAAAGTGATGCTCTCATAGATGGCCACACCTAAGTGCTCTCAACAAGAGGATAAATGCCTCAAGACAAAGAAAATGGGACTTTTCTCAAGTAGAGGTGAATGCATGGACTTAAGTTGGTAACACAAACTGGACATCCAAACCCTTTATGTTTGAAAATTGCCATTTCCCAGAAGAAAGATCATTATGGGCATGATTGGCAGGAAAGGAAGGCTTGGGTGGCATGCTTTCTGAACTTAGACAGAACCTTGTAGCTGTCTGACCATCATCCTTTCCTTATTCAGCACATCCTCTGTGTGTTGAGAATCACAGTCAGGACAAAGTAACCTGTGCGTTCCTCATGGACAGGAACAGAAAGATTAGATGGTGGCTGTTTCGCTTGATCCTTTGGGATGGAAGCCACCTTCTCTGTGGCTTTTTTTTTTCTTCCAGTAAAAAGAGAAGGGAGGGCTTTGGCTTGAGAAGATTAAATGGATCTGCTTCAGAAGAAGGGATTAGCCTCTAAATGGGTGGTGTGACTAAAGCCAAAGAAATGCCACCAGGGACGTAAAGAGAGAAGAAATGTCTGAGGCACTGCTACCTGTAAACTGATCTGTTCTTCCTGTGGAGGTAGGGCACAGGTCACCTCAATATTGACAGCTTAGAAAAGGACAATTAAGTTAAATGGTGATTTGTTTTCATTTCTGATAGGCACATTAATAAGAAAGTTTGAATGGATACTTAAGAAGCCACATAATGGCATCTGTATAAGAGTGGTTCAAATAAACATTCCCAAGTCCCAGCTAGTAACATAACCACTTTGCTTATTGAGCATTCCACCTAGCCAACCTGAGGAAGCTCCTGAAAAGGTGACCTTTCAATCACATGAAAATAATAGTTGCTTTGTTAAGAATTTTCTCTGGCCTCATTGTTATCTGTTACAGTAATTGCCAGCCCTTCCCCTTATTTCATATTTACTGAGTGAGAGACATTTTATTTTGGAATAGCTCAGAGCATCTGAAGTAACCATTACTATTTTTGAAACCTCCTATTTTTTGCCAGTGGTTTATCTGGAACATCTAATTATTTATATAAGATTATAACAGACACGTGTCCCATTACCAACACCAAACTCATCTATTTCTTTCTGTGGGCAAAGGCTGGGGAATAATAGTGGAATTACAGTTGCTGTTAGCTGATCTTAAAGTTCAGAACGGGGTGCACTGCATAACCGCTTAGTTTAAGCATAAGGTCTACATAACAAAGACATGAAAATGACATCACCGAGTTAACGTTCTAACACAATGTATTCTTAGATGGTCATCAAGTAGCCTACTGCTTACAGATTCTTCCCAAGTGGTTTGAAAATTGAAAGAAACAACTCCCATTCCGTGTAGAGTACAAAGGGACTAGGTCTCCGTGATGAAATGCTCGCTAGTATGCATGGCATGAGGCGTTAGATTCCGTTTCCCGTGCTATAAACAACTC